ATTGATGATTTATTTGATCAACTTCGGGAGCTCAAGTCTTTTCTAAGATCGATCTTCGTTCGGGTATCATCGATTGAAGATAAAAGTGGATGATGTGCCTAAAGCGCTTTGGAACAAGGTATGGCCATTATGAATTTCTCGTCATGCCTTTTGGTCTAACAAATGCGCTTGCTGCTTTCATGGACTTGATGAACAGGGTGTTCAGAGAGTATCTAGATAAATTTATTGTGGTGTTCATCGATGACATTCTAGTGTTTTCGAAGAGTTTGGAGGATCATGAACAACACTTGAGGTTTGTCTTACAGACTTTGCATGAGAAGAAGTTGTATGCTAAATTTAGTAAGTGCGACTTTTGGCTTGATCATATAGAATTCTTGGGTCATGTAATCTCGAAAGATGGCATATTAGTAGATCCAAAGAAAGTTGAAGCAGTTGTTCAGTGGAATCGCCCTACTAATGTTACAGAAGTGAGAAGTTTTCTTGGGCTAGCTGGCTATTACAGGCGATTTGTAGAGGGATTCTCAAAGATCGCTGGTCCACTTACTCGCCTAACTCAGAAGAGAGTTAAATTTGTATGGTCGGATCAATGTGAGAGCAGTTTTCAAGAGTTAAAGAGGCGGCTAGTGTCAGCCCCTATATTGACTTTACCTTCAGGAACTACTGGCTTCATAATTTACTGTGATGCGTCTAAAGAAGGTTTGGGTTGTGTTCTTATGCAAGATGATAAAGTTGTTGCCTATGCTTCTAGACAATTGAAACCACATGAGAAGAACTACCCCACTCATGATATCGAATTAGCAGCGGTTGTGTTTGCCTTAAAAATATGGCGGCATTATTTGTATGGTGAAAGATGTGAAGTTTTTACCGATCACAAGAGTCTGAAGTATATTTTTACCCAGAAAGAGCTAAACATGAGGCAGAGAAGATGGCTAGAACTTTTAAAGGATTATGACTTGTCTATTAATTATCATCCAGGAAAGGCTAACGTGGTAGCGGATGCCTTGAGTCGTAAGTCCTTTGGAAATATGGCAACTTTACTTACTTCTCAAAAGCCTATTCTTGAAGACATGAGGAAGTTGGACTTGGAGGTATTAGTACATCAGCTTGGTGCTCGTTTAGCTAATCTTCAAGTGCAACCAACATTGATTGATAGAATTAAGACCAAACAGAATGAAGATCCTCAGTTGCAGAAATTCAAAGAAGGCGTGGAAGCTGGAGGACAAGCAGACTTCAGTATACACGTAGATGGGTCCTTGAAGTTTCGTGGTCGTCTATGTGTTCCTGATGATTTAGAATTGAAAAAGGAGATATTGCAGGAAGCTCACAGCACTAGATTCTCAATTCATCCTGGAAGCACTAAAATGTATAGGAACTTGAGAGAGAACTTCTGGTGGGTCAATATGAAGAAGGATGTTGTAAAATTCGTCGACCAATGCCTAGTTTGCCAGCAAGTGAAAATTGAGCACCAGAAACCAGGTGGACAGTTACGCCCTCTAGAGATACCTAAATGGAAGTGGGAGCGTATCACCATGGACTTTATAGTTGGTCTACTGAGAACGCCAAATGGTAAGAATGCTATATGGGTGATTGTTGACCGATTGACTAAGTCCGCACACTTTTTGTCATACCGATTCGGCCTTTCAATGGAAGACATGGCAAAACGATATGTTAATGAGATAGTGAAGCTGCATGGAGTTCCAGTAAGCATTGTTTCCGACAGGGATCCCAGATTTGTATCTAACTTTTGGAGGAGTGTACAAGGAGCATTGGGTACTAAACTCAACTTGAGTACAGCTTTTCACCCGCAAACAGATGGGCAGTCAGAGAGAACGATCCAGACATTAGAGGATATGTTGAGATCTTGCATCATTGACTTTGAAGGTTCTTGGGATGAACATCTACACTTAGCAGAATTTTCTTATAACAACAGCTATCATTCCAGCATTAAGATGGCACCTTTTGAAGCTTTGTATGGCCGAAAATGCAGAAGCCCTATTTGTTGGGATGATGTTGGTGAGAAAAGACTAACTGGTCCCGAGTTCATTCAGCAGTCAGAAGAGAAAGTTAGGTTGGTTCGGGAACGTCTCAAAACGGCTCAAAGTCGTCAGAAAAGTTATGCAGATCTTAAAAGGCGCAAGGTGGAGTTTAGTGTGGGGGATCATGTATTCCTAAAAGTTTCTCCTACGAAGGGTGTTATGAGATTTGACACGCGCGGGAAGTTGAGTCCAAGATACGTGGGACCATTCTTGATCTTAGAGAAGATTGGTGAAGTCGCTTATAAACTTGCTTTGCCACCGGCACTGTCAGGTGTTCATAACGTGTTCCACGTCTCTTTTGTTACGTAAATATGTGCCAAATCCTGAGCATGTATTGGACTTTACACCATTGAGGTTAAGGGAGAACTTGACGTATGAAGAGCAGCCTATTCGCATCGTCGATAGGAAGGATCAGGTGTTGCGACGGCGGACCATTCCTTATGTAAAAATACAATGGCTGAACCACACTGAGAGAGAAGCCACTTGGGAACTTGAGGAGGAGGCAAAATGCAAGTACCCTCACTTGTTTGAAAGTTGAGGTAAGTACAAATTTCGAGGACGAAATTTCTTTTAAGGAGGGATGGATGTAATATTCGGGTATTTGAAAAAAAAAAAATTTTCAAAAAGTCAAAAAGTCAAAAGTTGCTACAGTAACACTCTGATTTTCTCATTTAAGCCGAGAGCTGCCTCGGCCGAGACAGAGAGAAAGGAGAAGAAAGAAAAAGAGAGAAAGGGAAAGGAAAGGAAGAAGAAGAAAAAGGAAAGGCTCACGTCATCGGAGCCTCGCCAGCTCGAATCAACTTCGTATTTCAACGTTCGGTAAGCACTCGCGCCCCTCGTTCGTTTGATCGGAGAAGTTTTCCGATTTAGGGTTTAAATTCGGAATTTTGGGAAATTCAAGCGGCGAAGTTTGATTTTTGAGTCGTTCAGCTGCGTATTTTTATAGAATTGGTAGTTTACAGTATTGCGGAGCCGTGGGATTTTACGGAACCTGATTTGGACTTACGGTTTGCTGGATATGAATTTTTGAAGTTGAGTGCGCGCAGTGAACAGTGCGCGAACAGTGGTTTTTAGGCCGATTTTCGTCGGTTTTCGGCTCGATTTTTGGGCTGCCAAGTTGGGGTTCCTGTAGTGCTCTGAATAAGCTTTCTCTTGACTATAAGTTCGCTTAGAACGGAGTTTAGTGGAGAAAGTTATGGCGCAATTAAGTTTCACGCTCAAATTCCGCATCGTGGACGAATTTGGATAATCGCTTTGGACGAATGATTTGGGGGCATCTTTTAGTCGTTATATTAGCGTCTAAGCTTAGTTGAGCCGAATCGTAGTTGAAGTATCATTTTACTCGATTTTGATACCGTTTTTCGGCTTATTGTTAGGTATTCGAGTGCGTCAGCTCGAGAAACCGCTGTAGGTTAGTTTTCAGCTTTTCAAGGTGAGTGGTACTATCTCTTATTTGGTTTTATAAAAATCATATCTCGAAAGAATTATGATTCGATATAAATATATATGTTGAATTTAAAAGAACATTTTGCTGCATAAATTGGGATCGAGCATTTACTACTTTTTAGTATTTGAGAATGATTTGGGAATCGTTTTTGGAAATGTATTATGAAAGGATACATCTGTATATTGTGTTATGAACTAGTTTATAAAATGAGTTCGGAAATTATTCAAGAAATGCTCTACGAAATGTATTTCTGGCGGATGAGCCGTATTATGAGAAAGTTATTTGTTTGATTTGTGAAATGTATTATGGATTGGAATTCTGATATTGGATGATGATTGTTTAATGCTCAATATGACTGTGAACCCATTGAAGGGTTTTGGGGTATGCATACCGGGTTTAGGATATCCTTCTGGACCGAGCCACCGGCTTTGTAGGTGGAGACCTTGCCAATGGGGGAATCTTGGTAGCCTTGTCACAAGGCTTTGTGTCGTGACCATAGTTAGATATTGAGCAATAGATTGGTCGATGGAATAGACCATCGACATTTGATATAATATGAGATTCATCAATGGAATAGACCATTGATGTGTGATTTGAGATTAGTCAATGGAATGGACCATTGACGTGGTTTGTATAGAGATTGATCAATGGACTTGACCATTGATAGTTTGAATTGTGATGGTGGATTTAAATGTGTATTTGTGACTTGTACAAAGTTTTGATGAAATGAAATAACTCTTATGTGATTCTATATGTATTTTAAACCTTGGGTTTGACTTCTAAAGTTCTGGTATTGCTTTGTACACATGCATAGTGATTGCTCGATCTACTTAGAAGAGATGTACTATTCATCTGTGGTTGCTCATCCCTCTCTTTCCCAATCTTTTCAGTTCCTCGGCTAGCGGCCGTTAGTACGAGAGCGCTATCGCGGGGACGTTTGGGAGTTAGATTTTTGGGTATGATTTTTGGAGTTGTTTGTAAGGTTGTTGATAGTTCGTCGGGTTGGCTGAGTTCTTGATGTACATGTTCTTTTGGTGGATTATAGAAACTCTGATGATATAACCAACCCGTTGGTTTATCTGATATATATGTGGTTTGAGATGTATATATTGATAACAGGTTGTTGGTTATTGTCGTGGCTGCGTCCTTCGTGTGGAAGGATGACCGTGTCATCCCCCTTTTCTAGTTGTTTTTGGGGTGTGACATTTTGTCCGAGAGTCTGTTTAGAGCCCCCGAAGCCCATATGCAAATTGTTTCCAAACCACCAGAAAAAGAAAGAAGAAAAAAAAGTTAGCAAAAAAACGAGTAAACCAGACAAGTTAATCGGATCATATCTCAATGGGCTTCGCATCGATCCTTTTTGTACATCGGGGGGGCCCATGGGCCAGGCCCATTGACCGAAGAAGCCCTCGGTCCTCCCCCAAATTACGCTTTCGCCACGCAACGTCCCCCCGAAACCCCCGAGAAAATATCTCCATATCAACAGCACCAATACCAAAAAAAAAGAAAAAGAAAAAAAAAAGTGGAAAAATCGCACCGCCTTCTTCAACCTCCCGAAGCTTTGCCCTCGCCTTCTCTCTCCATCTCCGTCTCGCGGCGCAAAGCACCAGACGCTCCCTTCTCTCTCTCTCTCTCTCTCTCTCTCTCTCTCTCTCTCTCTGCTTCCTTCGTCCCCACGCTCTTCGCGGCAATGGCGAGCAAGGCGGTCATCAACCTGAACGAGAAGATCCCACAGGAAGAGGAGACCGACAACCCCGTCGAAACCCTAGATCCCGCCGACCCCTCGCCCGCCGACGGTTCCGATCCCGGCCCCGGCGCCGCCGCGGACGGGCCCGCCAAGGAGGAGGAGGGCGAGCTGAAAGAGGAGGCCGCGGAGGCCGCCGCCGATGCCGATCCCGCGGACGCGCGGGCGGGGAAGGGCGGCGAGGAGCCGGCGGCCGACGACGTCCAGAAGAAGATCCGGCGGGCGGAGAGGTTCGGTGTGCCGGTGCAGCTCTCCGAGAAGGAGAAGCGCAACTCTCGCGCTGAAAGGTTTGCGAGTTCGATCGCGTGTTGACGTTCTCTTTTTTGCTTGGTTGTATGCGGTACGAAGCTTTTAGGGATTGTTAGGGTTTTTTTTTTTTTTTTTTTTTTTTTTTGTAAATATATGTGCATGTCGTTGTTGTTGCTGTGATATTGGTGGACAGCAGGAGTAGAAAAAGCTTAACCTCGAAGCATTGGGCTGTTAGTTTTAGAGAACTCTCTTCAGCAATCCCTTTTCGTTTGGCATTGTAGTCTACTTGAGCTCTCTGGGTTATGGTGCTTGGCTGGTGGGATATGGTCGATGGTTCCAAAATCTGGGCATCTCTGACTCTTTTAATCGGGTGTTTCTAGCGCGTCGATTGCACATTTTATGGATGTTTTTCTTTTAATCTACTCATTGAGCTAATGCTAATAACTGCTGGAGTGTGACTTGTTGGCGTCCTCATGCATTAATTGAATTTGTTGCCAGAACCTCATGTTTGGCACTGAGTAACATAATTGTGGAGTTCTTTGGGTTCGGGGGGGTGGCCTTTGGAAAATTCTGGGCCAATCTGTGGACTTTCTTGGAAGGTGTTGCAATAATAAGGTGCAGGAACCATTGCATATGCCACATCTCCATTAAGCACTTCTCAGACAAACTTTGTTTGGGAAATCCTAGTGAAGGACCAACAATCGTCTTACCTATACTGGAAAACTGTTTTCTGCTGAACATCATGATGGCATTTGAGATTGTCTTACATCTGCCTCTCCTTCCCTTTATCCCCCCTTACTCCCCTCCGTCTCTGAGGTAAACTTATGGTTTGCTATTAGGTGGTGTATCTGGTTTAATGTAGTAGTAGTTGATCTAATCAATGTTGTTTGTTTTATATTTTTGCCGAGCCAAGGAGGGAAAGCTTTGGGGCATTAGATGAACCTATAGGTGCTTGATTTTTTAGTAATGTGACCAAATGTATTTCAACTTTCAGAGTCTATGATAGTTGAAAAATTTAGTCTCTATTGAATCCCATGCCCATGCCCATTATACATTATGGTACTGGCATAGTGGACTTGATTTGTGAGGCCAATGGAAAGGGAAAAGCAACACGGTTAGAATTATTTACATTATTTTATCGATGCTGCTGACTTTGTTTTCAATAGAACTTTTAACGGGCTTGCAATTTCTTCCCCTTTTCTGCCCTTTATCATTATTTGATTGTTGCAATGGCTGGATTCTCTTTATTGTAGGTTTGGCACTATATCTGGTCCAAACAAATCTGAAGAACTGACTAAGTCGGAGGAGTTGAAGAGAAAGGCTAGGGCAGAGAGGTATGTTATTAGGTTTTCGTTAACCGGTTACTCTTCACCTCAAAAATTTTATATCTTGTGCTCATTTTTTTTCGTTGTTTCTCAGGTTTGGTGTCCTTGCAGCACCTGCTGATGCTGATGAGGTGGCAAAAAAGAAAGCTCGGCTTGCCAGGTTCACATCGGGCAAGAAAGTTGATCCCGAGGAGGAAGAAAAGAGGAAAGCAAGGGCAATCAGGTTCTTATCCATGCTAGTTTTCTCCCATGTTCATCCTTATCTTTGTTCTTCTTCAATTTGTGCCCCATAAGAGCATTTTAGCCCAAAAGCTAGGTCAATGGAAAGTTGTTTATTATACTTTCAATGTTATAATCTGACAGGTATTTGTCTTGCCAGGTTTTCAAATCCTCCGTTGGGGTCCCTGTCACAGGTGAATGGCAAGGAAGCAATCGCTGGCAAGGCCGGCGAGGGGTCTTGAGGAGCACACTTCTATACATTTTCTTTCTTTTTATTTTTTCCTTTGCATAGTAAGTTCTGTGTTTTAATTTGCTGTAGTTGTTGTTACTTTTTCTGCTAGCGCCTCCTAAATCATTGGTTTGCCCATTGATTAATCGATGTAATGATACTTATACTTGGTTTTTTTATTTTGCAGGTAGAATGGTCTAACTTAGTTTTATCTACCAGCAATCTATGAAGCCGTGCTTGTTGTTGATGCATGAATATTCAGATCCAAATTGATGCTTAGTTGAGTAGCTGCAACAGGACATTGAACAGGATTTTAGAGCAGGAGAATCTTCGTCTGCATTGGTCTTAAATTCACCTTGTGGGGCCTCGATGATGAAACCTCCCTCCACGTGTTAACCAATCTTAGTCTTATCAAAATTATCAGAAATTCCTATACAGCCTCAGTAATCAGCATTCTGTGTTGGGATGTGTGTTTGGTGTGGACATGATTTATTTTCTTTTGATTAAATTGAATGATTTTCATCATAGATATTTTGGATAGAGTATTCCTTAGTGGGGTATCTCGTGGCATCTGTTGACGTGGTAGATTGATATGTTATTTGCTGATGAAGTAGATTGACAGACTAGAAGAAACCTGTGCTCAGAAATGCCATCACTTTTTTATTATTAGTCTTGCGGTGAAGGGGTTGATGGCAATGGCTTTTAGCTGTCAATGTGTGCTTCATTGCTTGTTGCCACATTTTTATTTCTCCTTGACTTGGCTGTTAAAGTATCTGGAAATGCTGTAGTTATTAAGATGTGACATGTGTGCATTGTATTTGAAATTTGTAATTTTGAAACAAACTCTCAGTCTAGTCCGGACTAAAATTCCCCGCATGAGGTAGAGCATGTTTTTGAGTGGGTTTTGAGTTCTGTATTCCATGTTAGTACGTTATGGGGGTGTTTTGCTGCTTCATATCATGCAGTTCATGAAATGAATGGTCATGAGATCTGATAGATTTTACCAGTGGCAAATAATCTAGGCTGCATCATGAAAAGGTATAAAGCATTTCTTGTTTGTTGAGAGTCATCATCAGTCTCTCTTGATAGTGAGACGTATTGCAGATTGTGTTGGAATGAATTGAAGGTACATTTTTTTTTTTGGCAAAACTCAAGTAGGGACATCTCAAATATGGAAAGTTCGGCTTCTATGATACAAAGAAATGAAATCTGTCAATCATGGCTGTGAAATTGGAATTTCTGATATACTTATCCGTTTCTTCGAGAAAAGCTAGCACGTGGAGGAGGTTTCTTGATTTCTGCGGGTCTTCACTTGGTGGATTGCAGTCAGTGAGGTAGGATTGTCCATTTGACTGGGGATAGTTTGGCATGTAATGATGTTTTGAGTTATGAAACTTCTCTTAAGTAGTGAACTAAGGTTATAGTTATTGTAATTTTACTGTGATATTCGTTTTGTATTGGAGTAAATTGTTGGATATTGTTTTCATCGTCTCTTCCATATGGTTGCTATCCTAGCTGTCTCCTCTTATGACAGGCATTGCGCCCTGAGACATCATAGACCCCATTCTGTAGACACCTGTAGACACATGTAGACGACAGTCATCTGTATTGGCTGTTGAATTGAAACGACAGCTGATGACTGCCTTGTGTGTTGTTTATAAGGGGTCTGAACTGAGAAAATATTGGGTACTCAAGTGATACCAGGTCAGCAAAATACAAGTTCATTTTTCGTGCGCCACGTGTCCATCGCGGGCCCACCTGCCAAAAAAAAACTCTCTTTCTTCTGCACTTGCTCTTTCTCCTCGCCTCTCTCCTCTCTTCTCTCTCTTCACTGCGGTTTCTTCTCGGCTATGGCCGTTAGCTCAAGTTCGACCTCTCGTCCATGGCCGTTGCAAGTTTTCAAATCAAGTGTCCGTGGCCACGAGACTCTGGGTCTAACTCCCATAGCTGCAAGCTCGAAGCTCCATCTACACGGCTTCTGTGAGCTTGAGCATCCATGGCCGCGAGTCGTCGCAACTCGGGCTGCCATGGCCGCTAGCTCAACAGATGGCAGCCATGGTTGAACGGTTGTGCTCGAGCTCGTGCTCTAGGCTCGAACTCAAGTTCTGCGGCTATGGTGACGGCGAGACTCCGGATTAAGTATCCTTGGCCATAAGTCTCTAGATCTAGCGGCTATCAACGGGATTCAGAACTCGAGTGACCATGACCAGCCATGGCCGCGAGCTTGAAGCTCGAACATGCTTGCAACCGTGAGCTCGAGCTATGTGGCAATGGAGGCCGAGATGTTGGGCTCAAGCTCAAGCTCCATGGCCATGGTGGCGGCAAAAAAGAGATGAAAAAGCAAGTGCAGAATAGAGAAGCGAGGAGAAAGAGAAAGTGCAGAAGAGAGTTTTTTCTGGCAGGTGGGCCCGCGAGGGACACGTGGCGCACGAAGAATGAACTTGTTTTTTGCTGACCTGGTATTACTTGGGGTACCTAATATTTTCTCGTCTGAACTCGGAATTCTGTTTCGGGCAGTCCTTGTGGTCCAACTTCTAACAGTTGATTTGCTGATTTAGAAACCATTTGGAAAGCTCTGGAAACGAAAGTAGGTATCTTTAGCTGAATGAAAATAAAAAGAACAAATCGTCCTCGAAAGTATGTTTTGAAAGTTCCATCCCTCATGACCGGTGAATTTTCTTTTTCCTCTGAAGTGATCTTCCAGCATCGACCGAATGCTGGGCAAGAGAGTCCTAGTAGTCTCGAGGTAAGCTTCTAGGTAATGACATTGCTTTAACATAGGGCTGAAGAGGCTAGTGAACCGAAAAGCTATATGCATTAGTTTATGGCCTCCTTGGCATTGCCCTTTTTTTTTTTTTTTGTATGAAATCAACTTGAAGTTAACTTTTGCATCAAATCAAGTGATGGAGCTAATCTTCAAATTTCAATCTTGGAGCTTAATTTATCAAGTAATCAGAACTTACTGAGGAAAGCGGAGACGACCTTTATTTACATTTGCCAATAGATCCCTACGAACTTTCAATTAACAGATCTAGAGTCGTTTGTCAACAATCGTCCGGGGAATTTCTTTCCAATTATACTGATTTGCATAACAAGTTCTTAGCTCTGGGAATTGGTCCCTGAGGGCTCCTCTTAATGATCCTCAAGGAATTCCGATGCAGCTTCTACAAGAACCCGTCATTAAGTAAGTTGAATGGTGAGACTGGTTGGCGAGGGATAGACCCTGGCCGTTTGCCTATACCTAGGAGTCAGCAGCAGGAGCAGAGGCCATTCCTGCTCCTTTTATCGACACAGATCGTTGTAATGAGCTCTTACTACTGGCTAACCGCGGATCAAGAAACAGAACGACGACGCTTATGTCGTCGTGGAAGTGCCTCCTCACTCCGCACTTGATCCTTTTCATGTCCGAGTACCTCATTTCCCTCTTCTTCGCTGCTTCTTTCAGCGCCGCTTTGATCAGCCTCCTTGCAATTCCCTGATTCAACCAATAAAACATGTAAACTGAGTCCCAACGTGCTGTGGAATAAAGAATAGTCCTACAATGAGCAAGCAAAATTACTAACACATTTGTGCTTCAAATAGATGCCCTTGCGAAAACATACTTCTGGATTCAATGAAGTTCTAAGAATAGGATGGGAGCGCATGGATCGCACCTTGCGAGGGTAGTTCTTGACAATGTCAACAGCATCTTGATTGCTCAAATGCTCCCAAAGACCATCAGATGCGAAAATGAGGAAGTGGTCTTCACGCTGGAGTTGGTGTATCGATACTGATGGCTCTGAACTCAAGATTGGCTTGATAAATGGCTCAGGCAGTCTGAACTTGTGAGGCAAAGGCTCTCTATTGAACTCTGTCCTTTTCAGGTATGCATCTCCAATAGATCTTGAGACCTGAAGAGCAAAAGCAGATCATAACCATCCCATTTTATGTGGAAAAATTCTTCCCTAGAACTAGAATTCATTGGGCAGGGTTAAAAAACATCAGATGTACTACCAAATACCAACTAGGGATACACGTAGTATGCATCTTTGGTCAAGTTAAGCGCACTTGTTCATTTGAAAGAACAGGTAAAGAATGAAGTAAATCAAAGAGTATTACCTGTATGAGTCCCTTAACACGCCAAACTTTATGTTTGAGCATCACGATCTGTTGATCGTGGGGATGTAGGGACCGGACTTCCTCTCTCACAGATTCGAAATTCACATTGTGCTCTTCTGATAATTGGATGGGTGTTATTCTTTTGGAGTTCTTCACTGCTCTCCCTAGTACCGCCCGGGAATCCCCAGCATTTCCGACAATTAGAGTCCCGTTGCTTATGACGCCAACCAGACAACACGATCCGGCGGACGCAATCTGTGGTTTGTTATGCCAATGTTTCTTTACCATAGAGAGAAAATCCTCTTCGGTTGCTGAGAAAGCCTTCTTAATGACATTTGCACTGACCTCTTTATGCTCGGACACCAATTCTGCATTGGAAATTAGCTTTTTCTATCAGTAGTAGCCGTGATAAGGACCAAAAAATTAGATATGCGTGACAAGAACTTGATTCAAGCACACGATTAAAATGCAATGATGAACACCGCCTACAAGCAAGCAACAATTTTAGCTCTGATTTCAAGCGATCACAAAAGAAGTGAACATTTCTTGCCCAAACCAGTGTGCATAAGTTCTAAACAACTATTCTATTTGTGGTGATATGTGTATCGTCTTATGAAGTAGGACCGAAGTCTAATTGTCCAGTCGAGATTGTGCATGATTTTAGACCAGGAAATTCGTTAGTGAATCTACAAGGGTCAGAAAGTTCTCAAGCAAGGTGAGACATACTCTTGATGTTGCAGAACAGATTGTTGCGGACAAACCGTGAAGCCTCAGACCCACCATGGCCATCATAGATGCCAACAAGCGCCCCGAAGGGCCCGGAATCAGTGAAACTCAGCTGTCCCGATTCGAGCTGGCTTTGGTCCTCCAACAAATTGTTGGCCTGAATAACCGCCATGGAGAATTCTCCGTAAGCATGATTCCCTAAGCTTTTGCTCCACATCAACCCATCGGATCTCCCTCCAACTTCGTCGTGCTTGCGGCTTTCTTGTCCTTCGAAAGACGGTCTCCAACACGAGCTGACCATTTCCTTGGATAAAACTGTTCAATACAAGTTAATAATAGCGTATGTGATTCGTTATTCACAAGCAAGTTTCAATTCTGTTCTGATGCTTCAAGCCATGAAACACCGGGTGACTCCCGAACTTATATAGCCCATCAACCTGATACCTGCTTATACGAGCAGGATTTCGAGTAAGACCAAAAGGGTATGGGTTAAACAAACTGAAGAATTGTCTCCCTCAGACAAGAAGGCAATAGTTTTTATTTTGGTTCAGAGCAGAAGTATGTTGCTGGTGCTCTGTACCTTGAATCTGGGTTGGGTTTGTTTCAGCCTCTGTATTTTGCCATCTTTCAAGAAGACACTTATCTGTCCAAGCACATAAGATCAAGAAGTTGGCAGAGTTTGCTGGTCCAGGGTCAGAGATCAAAACAAAATGGAGCACTTGGATACGGGGTTTTTCCATTTCTTGGTCTGGTGCTCCTCGGCAGAAAATCTTTCAGATCACTGTCAGGCGAGAGATCTGATAAAGTTCTATAATCTGATATAGAAAAATTATATCTTAAGGATTATATTACAAAGTCTGACATTGTTGTTCTCTCTTGTTTTATGCATTTTAGTGTGTCCTTTTGATGTAAATGGTGGTGCCCAAGGCGCTTGGAATACCTTTAACAGGAGGGACTGAGATTTTGAGTTTCATGTCTTTGAAAAGCAAATAAAACCCAAACATCATGGGCAATTCTTGGTTATTTGATCTCTCTCTCTCTCTCTCTCTCTCTCTCTCTCTCTCTCTCTCTTTTAATGAGACAGAGATGTTGTCAATCCAAAGGAAATGGGAAGACTATCTTTTTCGCACACACAAGACTCGTACACAAAATTCTTCTTCTTGCCCTTTTTTTTTTCCTAAACAGTTATTTTCCAATTGAACTTCCTCATTGCCAAATGACTCTTTTGTTTATCTCCATTTCAGAGAATAGACCTGTTTTAGAAATTAACAACTTTCTTATTTATTGAGTCTCATAAGTGGTGGTCGAGACGACGTGGTAGCATCTCCCTCACACTTCATCTGAGATCAATGGTCTATAATTTGCCCGCCAATCACTACTTTATTTTCTCTACTTTCAGTTTGCAGTTTCTTCAATGCTCTCTCTGAGTCTGAGAGTGTTCTTTAGATGAAGGTAGGTGATAGGAAGTTATATTAGGTGTTGGAGAGGGTTCCTAAGAAATTGAATAATGCTCTCATAATGTGATCTGTAATTAATACAAATTGGTTGAATGGGATGACCATGTAATAAATTTTTAGCCTAATTCTATCAGCAACATTTATACAAATCTGTGAAGAACAGAGACTCCAATGCTCCTTTTGAATTCAAAATATGTCTATAAACATTCTATATAGGCCAGATTTCCCCTTTGTACAGACAAACTTCTTGTTTCAATTTAGAGAAACTCTTGCTTCACGTTGGCTCTCTCTGGCATTGAACCGGAGATTCATTCACATCAGCCACAACAAGAGACAACCGAAACAAGAAGTTCTAAATCAACGAGAATATTCCGTTTTTCAGAAACACTTCAGCCATAAACTGCTCAGACTTCAGCACATTTCCCATTCCTGAACGGCCGAATATGATTCTCCCATTATCTAGACAGTCTCTTTTGCTAATCAAATTTTAACAAATTAAGCTTCCATAAACACAAGATTGATTAGACTCTCCGAATAATTTTGCCTAACCGCTAGTGAACTTGTTTATCATAAACTCATCTGACTGTGATCCTGTCATTTAGTTCTCGGACTGTCAAAACAAAAGTGCAGGTCCATCTAACAAGGCGGATTTTCCCGCTAAAGGGTGCAAAGTGTATAATTTATGAAGGTTTACTTATCAAAAGGTTTCTCAATGTGGACTCTTAACATCAGATCCTTCTAGAACTATTAAGCTCAGACTTGTCAATTAATTCATCAGATAATAAAAAAGCAATCATGAACTGATTTCTTGGTTTTTGATGCTCTGAAAGTAGTGCTGTGTTTATCCTATCTTGCAAGGAAACATGGGATGGGCTGCATTTAACTCCTTCTAGACAGACAGATATAACAACACAGAGTCTTTGGGAATATGCCATTGATTCATCACATTATTTGTCATTGATGAAGAGACTAGTGAAGTCGTGTCTGTAAGAGGAGGTCTGCATCAAGACTTAGCTGATGCAGGTGGATAAGGACTGCTGTGAGAACTTTTATGCAGAAGCAGTTTACCAGACAAACTTGTAATGTGACGACTGTTCTTATAGACATACTGAGAAGAGATTACTTCGGAATAGAAAGCTAGACCTATCTTGGTCATGGATGAAAATTGAAATGATGATTATGTTTGTAAAATTTTTTGAGAGTTGCATGTACAATAAATCAAACTAAGTGCGATCAAGGTGATTCCTTCCACGAAGGTAAATTTTACCTTCACATATCATTTTAGTTTCCTTATAGGATATTCAACAAATTGCTTTCAAGTGGTTCATCGCGATGCTAGAAAGATCCATACCTAGATTTTTTTAAGTATAGGTGAACATGAAAATTGAGTACCTAAAGTGAAATTAAGAGCATTGAGCACGGGATCCATGCACATCCATCATCATTTGATAAAGTATTATATTCTACTCAAAAAAAAAATTTTGGTTTAATATTCAGGTGGTGTCTAGACCAGCTTTCACACACCTCGACCAGTGCACTTCTTCGACATTGGTCAAGTGCATTTTGGATTTTACTCAGATTTGAACCAAGACCATAAGGAGAGGAGCAATCTTCTTTGTCATCTAAACCAATATGTAATTGGTTATTCTATTCGACTTAAACTTGCCAGCAACAAACAGGATGAGGAGAAACTATCTTTCACTTTCAATACTAATATACTTTGAGACTATGTACCAAGAAAGAAAAAATTTAAAACACGAGATTAAGCAACAGCATGTTTGATCCATGCAACAGAGCGTCAAATGGTGAGATTGAGAGAACAAGAAGCCAGTTCATGGAAATCACTCGAACAAAATAAGCACTCTTAATCCGATTGCTGTGCTTTATTCAGCTAAACAGAAAAGTCACGATGCAGTGTTCGATCAAAATCAGGGACAATCATGGGTACTAGGCTGAGAGCAAAAGTGCATGTGTCCAAGCCCTTGGGCCCTGGTCGTAGTACCAAAAAGAAACTCCCAACCCCACTTCACATGCTCTCTGCCATCATTTGCTCCACATTCAACTGACATTGGTTGTGGGTTACCATTTCGAGCCAGATGAAAACTTACCATGAATTGAGGCTCTAGATTTGGTAAGTTGAACATGGAAAGCCCTACTAAATGCATACTGTTTTCGTCTCCCCCTCTGTCTGTTTGGTATGACTATTGTCATGAATTCTTGCCGGGATTATCGTGAAAAACAGAAAATGGGTTCGTGAAAGGTCCGGGCAATTGAGGGTTCAGTTCGAACCTCGTGCGGTGTTGTTAAGAAGTTGGAGGCCCTGGCCGGCGGGCGCCCTGGCTACCGACCACTGGCCTGGAATGGCCAGGCTATTGGCCATGTGCCGAGCGCCCAGATCATTAGGCGCAGGAAACCGCGTGAACTGATTTCAATTGCTATTGAGCCTATTTTTCTGCAATTTCATCAGAAGGTACACTTCCTGGCCATCAAAGCCAATATGTAGGTTTTCTCGAGTTGTGTTCTTAGTGAGAGACTGTGAGGAATGCACCGAGGGACATCGAAGTTTAATTGAGACTGGGAAACGTCTGAGTTTTCGTGAGAATCTGAGTGTGATTTTAGTATTGGTTATCTTGCTTAATATATAATGAAATCTCTTACTGTTTCCTCGGTGGACATAGTTTCAACCAACCAAACCGTGCCAATTTAGTATGTGATTTTTTTGTCCTTTGGTGTTTATTTATTATCCCTAACATGCCTCGGCAAAACGCCATACAATGCTAAAAAAGAAAAAGCATACGATGATTGACATTAAATATGACAGAACATCGTGCTTTCTGGTAAAATGTCGCATAATACTAAATAGTGTCATACTCGATTTTGGCATAGAATACGAGCAAGCCGTCCTAGGATCATAATAAATAGAAGTCTCATTTTGTGAGGGAACGATGTCATGTCTTACGCCTTTATCAAATGTGACTTAAATTACGATTGCATGATGAAGAGTTATACCGCCCTACTACCAAAAAACTCATTTTACTTTGATGCGCTCGAAACTTTTCGTTAACTAATCCTATATGGCATTTCAATCGTTTTTCCAATCCTCCATAACTCTTATAAGCATTTTTTTAATGCTTGAACATGAAATCACGTCGTTATGTGATGTCATATCAGAAAAGTTTATGAAAGTAATAATCAGAAAATTGAAAATGCAATTTTTGAAAAGAATTGAGGGAAAAAAGAAGAAGAAGAAGAAAGGATCGGTGGGAGAGGCCACAATGAAAGTGCTGCCACCCGCCGGGAATGGTGGACAAGACAACCCTTGCAGAGATCACATCATGGGCGACCGTCCCTCGCTTGGCCACCAGTCCTCCCCACGAGCAAGTGAGGGTCTACTTGCCCTTGCCTATGTGGTATTGGCGCTAGGGTTGCCACCATCGAGCAAGGACGAATAGACACTAGCAGTCGTTTGTATTAAGTTACACATGTGAATTGTCTTAAAAAGTTTCACATCGAAAAATTAGTATTATGAAAAGCGATTAATATATTCTAATTGGATCATAACTTATTAATTTAAACTTTCGAATGTAGATAGGTCCAACTATATATATTGACAATTTCGGATTTGGCTTCCCCTTAGCGATCTCCTCAAATTAAGGTATCGAATTTTTATTGCGCCCTCTCAACAACTCAGTGGTGGCAACCCATGCTTGCCAAGCAAACCCTTAGCAGAGAGGGGTGGCACCATCCTCAGCTGTAGGGGTGATCGGTTCCAAGGTAGGTTGGGTCCAGACCTGGAATCTGAAATCAATCATGTTATAATCAATTCTTAATTTTTGGAACTTGAAACCTACCATGTTTTCCCTGGACTCTGTTTTGGAACCGACCCTGTTTTTTCGGTCCAGTTTCAGGGTCTACCCGAGAACCTGTTTTTTTTTTTTTCCTTTTTCTAATTTCATTTTTTTCTAGTAAAATAATATAGATAGTAATGAAATGATTCAAAGTAAAAGATCTACCGGATCGGCAAGCCAAAAAGGCAAAACAAACACACGAACGGTACGGACACCGAGATGACCAAACCCTAGTCCTCTACAACGCGCAGGTAGGCGACGAGCTAGGTTGCGTTCTTACAGAGACTGAGGAAGCGCTTGCAAAGAGAGAAACCGTGAGAGACAGAGGAGGTCGCGAAGAGAGAAGAGAGAAACCCCGAGAGACAGGCTGGGTAGCCAGATAGGGTAACGTGATCTAAGGTTTTTACTTGTTTTTACATTATCTCAAAACCGGTTCTAAAATAGGTCCGGGTCGATTTTTACTTGAAACCGGAAACCGGACCGGTTATAACCGGTTCCCAAAAAATGGAACCGGTTCACGGGCCGGTTCTTTGTTAGAACCGGTTCTCGGACTTATTTTTCAAGTGGGCCGATCCGATTTCCGGATAAACCTGGTCCGATTGCACATCCCTACTCAGCTGCCCTGTTTCCCCCTCCAACATAATCGTAAGTTCAAACTCTTCATAACTTTCGACCAAAAAAGAAACTTTATAACTCTTTTTTTGGTGAATTATTTCAAGATAAACGGTTCACATTGCACAAGGAAATATCAACGGGCGAAGATTCGTGTGGCTGGTGATCGATTGAAGCAGTTTGTGTTTTTGATCTTCCTTAATCCGCAGAGGCGATTTGTGGTTAGACAAGCCCCAAAGAAAACAGAGACTGTCACTGAGAACATCTGGAAAAACCACAGCATGGATCATCACTGCTCCTGCCTACATGTCCCCATTCTCCCACACGCATCGTCTAAAAAGCAGTGAAAATCACTTCACTGACATTTCCTCCCACCTCAAGAAAGCACCAAAAGGAAAGGAAAAACAGAGGCTGTCGCTGTCACTGTCAGTGAGGGTCTTTCACCATCCAAACAATCATGAAATCCTTAGCAGAGCTGGGCAGCTTGAGGAGGTGGGCCGACTCCAATCATGCAGTTTCGCTTCTCCATTGATCTCTGGATGCTTTCTCTGGCATGCCTCAGCGCATCGAGCACTTCGCTGACGCTCGCACTCATTACCATCATCTTCGCGTTCAGGGCTTTGCTCTCTGGTTCTGCTTCGGGCAAAGTGACTGGAACTAGTGCTAATGAATCATTCACCTGATCATCCTCATCATGATCAAAACTGTTCTCGTTCTCTGTCACCGAATTCCTCGCGCCTGTACAACTGAAGTAGAAAGATGTGGGAGAAAAAGGAGTCAAATTTGATCGAGATAAGCAAGACCCAGATTGAAAAAAAATAAATGAATGCACTAAACTGAAAAGAAAAAAACAAAAGAGTTGGCCGCTTGAATCGAATCGAATGGTTTTACCTATGGCCATCAGTCTTGAATTCGTTGTATGCGGGGCCGGATTTCTCAGAGGATAAATCTCCGGCGTTGGAATCACGCTTATCTCCGGCAAGAGCTTTTTCAGGAGCATTAAGCTCCAGATGGTGGGGTGATGCGTCTTTGTTCTCAAAACGAGACTCGGATTCTACTTCTGCTTCTACGGTAATTTGGGCTTCGGAGGCGATTGTGACTGTGGAAGACGAATCGGAGGAGACGATGCCGGTTTCGCAGACGCTGGATTGCTCCGGTTCGTGCAATGCGGGCGAGATTAGCAGGGTCTCGAGCTTCTTCTTTAGGAACTTGAGCTTCTTCTCCGTTTTCGCCCTCAACTTGGTCTCTTCTCTCAGCTGGTTCTCTAGTTCCACCAACTGCAACAGTAGAAGGAAAACTTGAAAATTAAGGGGACAGAGAACAAACCCAACAAATCTTGAGCAGTATACTTTAAACTCGGTAAAAAAAGGAACAAGAAAGGGTAAAACAAAATATAAAGAAAGAATGTGGAAGAGACCCTGTTGGCCATGAGCTGAGCTTGTTCTCCAGCAAATCTGGAAGCCTGTCTCTCTGCAAGGAGTCTTCCCCTCAGGCACTCCATTGTTCTCAAACCCTCCTCCTTTTCTCCAATTTCTTTGACACTGTAGAGCAGCAATTCATCACCCAAATTGAATGTGTCTGTGTGTATGGGAGAGGGTGAAAGAGACACAGAGATGGGAACCAACCTCAATGAGCTTTCTTCTTTGTTGAAGGGTATCACCATCTTCTCCAAGAAATCTGAAACGCCGGGTCAGAGAAACTCAGGAGGAGAAGCGGGAGCAGCACCTTCTCTTCTCTTCTCTTCTCTTCTCTTCTCTTCAAGAGCACTGATGCCAAAACAGAGTCACTTCAGTGGACGACCTGGGCGTCTGCAGACGCATGTCCCTGTGGAATCCACTTGGGCCTTGTCTTCGACCTCTGATCTCACGTAAGAGATCATCTCATGAAGTTAACCAGCACGCTGGCGAATGTGATCATTGGTTTGTCATTGATTAGGAAGAGCTGTTCTGTGCTATATAACGTGTTCTGGGGTAGTCCCATGTACTTTGTTTTGCTTTGCAGGACAAGCAATCCCATAAAGAATTCCGTGAATGCTAAATAATCCAGACTGGTATAAAATAACAGTTTTCTAAATGAGGTGGTGGACCGTTATTGGATACTGAATTTTAGCTCCGCTCGTTTTGAATATCCATTTACAGCTTGCCACGCCATTTAATAGATTAAATTTGTGAATCGGTTGTTGCTAAATTTATCATTTTTCAAAGATTTATTCCGTGTTTGACTTGATATAGTTGATAAAGAGATCCGTCGTAGTAAAAGGAAAACGATGAGATTCGCATTATAAAAATGAGATTGACTTGGGTGAATTAAATAACTTCGGGGGAAAAGTTTACTACTCTTGATAACCTCCGTTTGTTTCGAAAAAAAATCAAAGATTTGAAAAATACTTTCTTAAAAATAACCTCTTGTATCATCTTGCAATAATTAATCGATGAGAAAATATTTTTGTTTCCAACAACAAGTCATGTCCGAACATTTCGTAAATGATAAATATATCTTTTGTCTATTATTTTTTAAAGCGATGCAAATGACCATTTATAAAAAATGTATATTTTTTATATCATTTATTTTTTTTCAAAATAAATAAAACCGTTCATCTTCGTCGATTTGGAACAATTTTATCTTTTTCTTAATTTATTGTCATTTAACAAGTATTGCTCCATCATTTCTGCAAAGAGACAGCCCTGGTTCCTGCACGGATTCAAATTTTGAAAATACAGGGAAATATTTTCCATTTTAATTTTTTTTAAAATAAATAAGTTTGAATTTTGGCTGCTGCTGTCACAGTGTCACGTGATGCAGCTCACCTTGCTCGTGCCTACTTCGAAAAGGACTTAAATTATCTGACTAGATAGGGGGGGACCAAATGCCAAACACTGCAGCGCCAGCCCAAAATAATGTTCAAAATGTACCACCATTATTTCATTTTGGCAATCGAAAATTATTTCGACCGAAAGCAACCATACTTCGTATTGATGATTATTACCTCTTTTGGACAATATAAATGCAGAATTCTTAGTTTATATTTAGTTTATATTGAACAATAATCTATAGCATAGAGACTCGATTACAATTTTATTTTTGGTCTGTTCTACTTTAACTCTCAACTCACTTTCAAATTTTAGCCATGCCTCTTTACAGAGCAAGGGAGTTGAGACCCACATAAACGTCCCCACCCGTAGCCTCCCTAAGAAGGTGAGGAATCGAACTCTCTATCTCTTCCTTTCGAAGTAAGAAGGGTGGCCACTGAGGTAAACCCCAATGACTCTATTACAATTAGAAAGTTCTTACTGCGGTTTTTATATTATAGAATATTCTTACATGTGATCAAAAACGTTTTGTCCTATTGAAAGAAAATGGCAAGGATCTTGTTCTAATGAAATCCTTAATAGGAAGAGTTATAGATAGTGTTTAAAAAATTTCAATACTTGCTGATTTGCAACATTAAAACTCATCACATCTAATAATATTTTTGTTGACGAAATTCATGGTATAAAATGAGGTATGCACCAATCCTAGTTGGAAGGGTGATTATCTCTTAAATTGGGACCAAAAAAACTACTCCAATTGATTAGGTGGCATCTAATAAGTGGTAGTCCACTCGATGAAAAATGCAGCAAAAACGATTACTACAGTAAAAGAAGGCATCTCCAGTTATTTAGGGTGCAAATGATAATCATTTTGTTTATGGAATAAATATCTGGCAGATTTTCTATTTTTATTTCCTGGATGAGTTTCTGAACAGAAATATGCATTTGATAACGATACAAAATTTCTCCCTCTTATGCTTTTTTTCATTCATTGACTGTTGGCACCTGGAAGGAAGGGGAGGGGGGGGGGGGGTGGGCGGTCCACGGTTAGCTGACGAGGGTCGATGGTCGTGTGCAGCAGGCGAGCGATGAATAGAGTTTTTTATTTCTCTTTTTGTTCCAGAAACATAAATGTATAAAATTGTTCACTTCTCATTTCTGTTTCAAACCTATTTCTGGACTAAAAATTTGTTTCGGAAATAGAAAAATGAAATTGCGTTATTAAACAGATTTCTATTCAAAACCTGTAGAAAAACAGAGAAATAGAATAGTTATAATGCGCACCCTTAAAGTACTAGTTGTCAACTTTTTTAGACGACTCCTTAAGAAAGAGTTTTTATCGTTTTGCAAGTGGATTTAAATTGCATCATATCAACGTGTAAATGATTGAGAATATTAAGTAGTATTAGCAAATGATCGAGAGTTGTCTTGACTTGCACTTGACGATTTCACTACTTTCTTCTTCTTTTTCCTCCTAATTTTTTTTTTTTGTTGGAAGTTTCGTTCTTTTATTGTGCCCTTAAAGTTTGAGCCATCATCAATACATGTCCACCTACAAAAAGCTTATCACAAGGCCATACCGGGGGCATTAATGGAGAAGCAAGATATCTAAGAATGCTCAGGAGCTTCAACAGTAAGTAAATTACTATTTCAATGGACCACCTCATCTCTTTTTTTTGCGTAATTAGCAAGAGAGGGACCAATAAATCAGCCTCTAACAAGCGACTAAACACTCATATTAATCATGTAGTAATCGTAGAATCAAACATTATGCGATTCGAGCCTGGGGTTTCAATCGGAACTAGCTTAAACGATCCTTGCGTTGCACGGGTTTGTTTGGAGAATCTCATGTTGAGAGACTATTACGAAATAGCAATAGAGGTAGAAATATTTCTTTCATAGATACGTTACATTAACCATAACAGAAGATATTCAAATGAAAACTCAAAATTATTTATTTTCTTAGAAACATCATGCTGATGAGCAAGAGTACATGCTATTAAAAGAGAGTTTCAAAGTAGGACATGATATTACATAGTGAGGGGTTGTGTGCATTAAACTTTGCATAGATGTGCACCGTACATACATCTATAGAGTACGCTAACCCTTTTGGAAACATCTTGTACCGTGAAGCAAGAAATTGATAGACATTCTCGTGTACATATTTCGGAGATTTTAACGGAGTGGGTAGGTACGGTCCGGCTTTTAGACATGCTTGACGAATATTATCTTGTTGATGCACCGATAATTCCATATAAGTTGACGTAGTTTGGAGATCACAAACTATAGATGATGCATCATTGTCTACCTTTTCTTCTCTAGGAGTTTTGGTAGGACGAGATTCAATCAAAGAAGACACTCCGCGAGGAGTTGAAGTTTCTGAATGAGAATGGTTCGCATCATGAGTTGAACATTCTCGAGTAAGTGATTCAGCATGATTTCGAGAACCTCTTTTATTGATAAAAGAATCAATTGTTTTGTTCACTACAATGAATTTAGGGAAAAAACCACCAAAAACCCCAAACTTTGCCATTTGTGACACATTTACCCTAAATTTTTTTTGTGACACCAAAAATCCCGAACTTTACTTTTTGTGACACATTTACCCCAATGTATTTAGTCCATGGGCATTTTCGTCTTTTCTGCTTTTTCTTTTTTTTTCCTTTCCGTGAGGGGGGCCTCGCCGGCATCCCTCGCCGGCGTCGAGCGAGGGCGGCCCTCGCAGATCCGGCGAGGGCGGCCCTCGCCGGCGTCGAGCGAGGTTCGCCGCCGGCGTCGGGCGAGGTTCGCCCTCGCTGGGCGAGCGAGGCGGCCCTCACCCGACTCAAGCGAGGTCGACCCTCGCCGGCGTCGGGCGAGGGTCGACCTCGCTCGAGTCGGGCGAGGGCCGCCCTCGCTCGCCTAGGCGAGGGCGACCTCGCCGGCGTTGGGCGAGGTCCGCCTCGCTCGGGCGAGCGAGGGCGGCCCTCGCCCGATCTGGCGAGGTCGACCTCGCCGGCGTCGAGCGAGGGCGGCCTCGCCGAGATCGAGCGAGGGCGACCCTCGCTCGACGCCGGCGAGGGTCGCCTCGCCCGATCCGGCGAGGCCGCCCTCGCCGGCGTCGGGCGAGGGCCGCCCCGCTCGCCCGGCGAGGGCGACCCTCGCCCGACGCCGGCGAGGGTCGACCTCGCCAGACGGGCGAGGCCGCCCTCGCTCGCCCGGGCGAGGCGGACTCGCCGACGCCGGCGAGGGTCGCCTCGCTCGGGCGAGCGAGGGCGGCCCTCGCCGACTCAGCGAGGTCGACCCTCGCCCGACTCGGGCGAGGTCGACCCTCGCCCGACGCCGGCAAGGGTCGACCTCGCCTGAGTCGGGCGAGGGCCGCCTCGCTCGCCCAGCGAGGCGAACCTCGCCCGACGCCGGCGAGGGCCGCTCCGCTGGATCCGCGAGGGCCGCCCTCGCTCGACGCCGGCGAGGGCCCCTCGCGGATCCGGCGAGGCCCCCTCGCCGGAAGGAAAAAAAAGAAAAAGCGAAAAGACGAAAATGCCCATGGACTAAATACATTGGGGTAAATGTGTCACAAAAAGCAAAGTTCGGGGTTTTTGGTGTCACAAAAAAAAGTTCGGGGTAAATGTGTCACAGATGGCAAAGTTTGGGGTTTTTGGTGGTTTTTTCCCATGAATTTATTTCACAAGAAACCTGAAATATTAATTTTAATGGAAGTTGAGAGCAAGACTTAATCAAAGAGAGTTTGATTAACTCCTAATCAAAGAGAGATCTAATTAGCTCCTAATTTGTGAGCAAGACTGAAACAAACAAATGCATATGAAGAGACAATCACTTTAATAATTTAAGATACTCATAGGAATATTGGTTTCTCCTCTTGAACGCTCTCGCACCACCTGTTTCAATTTCCTTCTTTAGCACTTGAATGCATACTTTCCTTAAAAAAAGTACACATAAATGGTGGAGGTATGGGCATCACTTTAAAAATTGTCATTGAGTAAGCCTTTTTTCTCAGTGCAAATTGAATCTGAGACAACTTTTTTCCATTTATGTGCATGAAACTTCAGTAGTTCTATAGTCAAGGTTCAAGAGACATCCCTTGCTAATTCATTTTTCTGCCATATTCTTGATTCTTTTGACTTCATATTTCCATTAGCCATTGAAACAGAGCTCTCACCGTTAAGCTATAATGAATTAACTCTAGATTGCGTTAGAGAACGATCGACGACTTCGATCAATAGAACCCTAGCCATCAAAATCACCCCGTGAAACAAGGACAGTGCGGTCAAAACGAAAGTATGATAAATTCTAAATAAACAAAGCATAGTACAATACCTTAACTTAGGTGGTGTGGCCCAAAGCCAATGTAGCGTAGATGGTTAAATGGTAGAGAACGGTCTTGTGCATTTGAGGGCACTCTTCTTTGTTAGGTTAAACAACATTTAATGGGCCGTGGGCTGTAATTAGGATGAACAAAAACAAGATGGACCGGACCTAAAGCAGGCCTCAGGATTGTTGACTGGATGGCCATGGAACGGCCCAAGAATTGGCCACCCTTACGATGACTCTTCTCTCAACTTGGCCGTGGAATTGTAAAACCAGGAATCTTTTTAATACGTTTCACTTTTGAACCTTCATATGAACTTCTCAAGTGGCTGAGCACATCTTGTGCGAGAATTGAAGGATCATTCTTTCTGAAATATCACTGAAGCCATTTCTCTCTTGTCTGTTGAAGCTAAACATCTGTTTCAAAGTAGTCCAACTTCCCTCAGTACCTTAATTAAACCAGAATCTGTACCAGTTTCCACTCCACAACCCGAAGTCACAGTTTTTCGAGTCGCGGCATAAACCGGATACAACTTGCTTGAACGATGGACCGAGGTGTGTCTATAAACTTCTCTTACTTTCTGTTTGATTTCATGTTTGCATTTAACTTGGAAATCATGTGGCTTTCTCCATTTCCACAATGAATTCTACAAATTCTGGTGAGAGAGAACTGATGATAGAATACGAATCACTTATAAATATTTGTAAAACTTGTGTGTGGTTATAACAGATGAAACTGTGAGACTGTGTACCTTTCTTGTACAAGGGGAACTTTTCTTTTCCTACTATTTCTAAACAAATGCTCACCCTCCCCTAAAAGAATTTAATCACAGCAACTACACTTTACCCTGTACCATTATTTCCTGCTCAATCTTTCATTTCATCCTCAAGTTGAAGAAGTATCTTCTGATGAAAATTGAAAACATCCATGTTTTGGTTGTGATGTGGGGGCGGCTGTGAGGCCCTGAAGCAACTTGATTACTTTGGAAGTGCCATCGAGATAGTACTTGGCCATGCTTGGCTTCTGCCCGATGGTACATGTGAAAACTTCCGCTGTAGATGGTAAGGAGGGCTTTGAAACTGAGCGCGCTATAGTCTCAAACATATCCTCGTCTGAGAGGTCATCTCCGATGCACAGCAAGAAGTCAGGCGACTTCCCTCTGCTCCGCATGGTTGATATCAGATTTTCAACCACTGTGCCTTTGTTTACGCCCTGCAATTGACCAAGTAATTAAGCAAGTCTTTCTACTAGAAGCCATCATCTGAACTACAGATGAACCATGCATAGTTGGACTGATGTTGCTAAGAGTGAGCGGTTCTAGGTTCCATACATGTTCCACTTGGAACTTGGAACCTACCCGTTAGAACATATTCCTCATTTTTTGGAACCTGGAACCTACTTTGCATATCTTGAAACTTGGAACCTACCCTATCATAGGCTCTAGGGTTAGTTCCAAGGTCTACTCAGGTTTTAACTATATTATTAATTGAACGATTACAGTGAATCATCATCTTTAATGACCATCTCTTGCTGCTACAATTCACTGACTACAACTTATATTTAGACACACGAATAATATGAAACATTAATAAAGTAAAAGACTCGGTCATAAATCGGAAGCTCAGATTAGTGATTTTAGATTATACACTTATCATCGGATGCCGTGAAATATTTTATGATCGCGCGAAGACATAGACAAAAAAAAAAAACACAAAAATTGTTTCAGGTTTACATCTATCTAGAACCTGGAACTTACTCGTCGAAATAGGTTTCCCAATTTTTGGAACCTAGAACCTATCTTGCATACCTTGAAACCTGGAATCGGATAGGTTCTCACCCGTCCGGTTCTCTATTTTCGAATTTTACCCTTAAACCATGCTCACCCCTAGATGTTAATTGCTACACCAAGAAGTTTTACTATTCACAATAGATGTTGCTATTCCAGATAATGAACCAGTTTTCTTTTGGTAGGATATCAGCCTCCTTTCTGCCAAAAAAGACGCAGGAAAGTTCCAATTCTCTTTGAACAACAGAAGCTAGCCCAGATCATACCTGTGGTTTCACTTCAACAATGTGCTGACCTCTTTTGACGACCACCGGCTTGTTTGTGAGCACACTCTCCAGGTGATCAAGAAGCTCCTTCGCCTGGAATGACCCGAAGTGGGGATCGGCGTTTTGATGGTGCCAAACCAATGCGCTCTCCTTAGCCTCTATGAAAGAGCCATCTGTTGCCTCCACGTAGTGCTCCATTACTGGTTCAGCTATCTTTTTCCATTCGAAATGCATTGTCAATCCGCATGTTTCCCAACTGGAATCTCCAGTCCACCTACAAAGGAACCGCAACAATATAAACACTCGCCAACAAAATCAATCACCTCCAATCTTAACCAATAGTTAAGCATATATTAAAAGCATTACCTTTTAAAATAACCATGCTCTGCTGCAATACCCAACCTTTCACAGGGTGAAAACCACTCTCCTAGAGAATCCTTACCTCTTCCACTCACAATGAAAACAACGTTTTCCGGATCTCTGCATAGGGAATTCAACATCGAAATCACCTCACTGCTAGGCCTTTTGTCTACGGAAGCTTTTGGCAACAGTGTCCCATCATAGTCCAATAAAATTAACCGGTTGTTTGTGTTACGATAAGCAGAGGTGATGTGATCCACCGAGAGCTTCCTGAAGTTGGGGCCTAAAGCGACGACCCTAAAGCCCAAACCAAACCCCACACCCCAACACGTTTTCTGATAAAGCTCCCTACAAGCCCTCTCAAGGTCCCGGTCAAAACTCCGAGCCCAGTATTCGACGTCATGTGAGCTTATGTACTTGTAATGCTTGTCATGGCGCAGATGCTTTTCCAAGTCGCAGATTGTGATTGCCGAGTTCATGGCATCCGCGACAGAATCTATGTTCCACGGATTGACGCGGATGGCCCCACTCAATGACCATGAGCATCCTACAAACTCCGACACGATTATCATGCTCTTTCTCGGAGTGGAGCTCTCGTCAATCCCCAATGCCTTGTCCAAAGCACGGCTACCCTGTCTGCATACAGTGTACTTATAAGGCACATCATTCATCCCGTCTCTAAAAGCATTCACCACAATGCATTCAGCAATCGAATAATACGCAGCCTTTTCTTGCATCGTGACCGGCCCTTTGATGTAAACAATTGGCTCATACCCAGGTTTGCTGTACTTTCTGTTGATCTCGTTGGCAACAAGATCAGTCTCATTCTGAACCTCTTGCACATCTTCTCCGCTACTCCTAGCTGGATTAGTGATCTGAACCAAAACCACCTTGCCCCTCAATTCAGGTTGTACCTCCAGGAGTTTCCCCATCGCTGAGAATTTCAAGCTAATACCTTTGAAAATGTCCAAATCGTCCACGCCCAATATTATAATTTTACCCTCATACTGCTCCTTCAATTCTTTAACCCTCTTAGCTGTTGATTCCATGGACAAATCAGATTGAAACTGACTCATGTGAATCCCTCCTGGCAAAATCTTGACACTCACGGTTCTACCATGGTAGTCCAACTTAATGTACCCTCTTTTCGACTCGTAATCGAGCCCCAACATCCTACTACAGCACGACAAGAAATGCCGTGCGTAATCGAATGTGTAGAACCCGATCAAATCGCAGTTCAACAAGGCCTTCAAGATCTTGTCACGCACCGGGATCGTCCTATAAATCTCCGAAGATGGAAAGGGGCTATGCAAGGAAAACCCAATCTTGATTCTATGGAATTTCTTCCTCAGAAAAGTAGGCAATACCATGAGGTGATAGTCATGTATCCAGACATAATCCTCTTCTGGATTGATCACTTCCATGATCTTGTCGGCGAAAACCTTGTTTGCAGACACATAAGCCTGCCATTGCAGGCGGCTGAACTGAGCCCCTTGGCTCGACATGGGCAGCATGTAGTGAAACAGAGGCCAGAGATAGTGCTTGCAAAAGCCATGGTAGAACTTGTTCTGCATATCTGGAGGCAAGAATGTCGGTATGCACCGGAATTTCTCGAACAGCAAGTGTGAGACCTCTTCTTGATCGGCAAGGTCAATGTCAGGCTTCAGAGACCCTACGTACACGACCTCGACATCGGGTCTCAGCCCATCCTTTAGCTGAAACACCAGGCAGTCTCTGTCCCACTGGAAGCTCCATTTCCCGGTCTGCTTGTCCTGAAGAGCTTGCAATGGAAGGTGGTTTGCGACTACAATTCGTCGCTCCGGGGGGGCCAACCGAATGGCGTCTTCCGACTCTGATATTGGTGATCGATGGCTCTTGAAATCGGAAATCACTCCCGAGGTTGTCATGACTCTAGGAATACGGCCCATGACCCGAAAATCATCTACCGAAAGCAAATTCAAAAGGTCCACGCAAGACTTCGATACCATAACTTCTTCGGACGTAAGAAAAAAGGGATCGATCAGGGGCCGTCTCAAGATTTAAGAACGGGAACTGGAACACCCACCTGAGAAAGAACGAAAGCAAAATGGTCTGCGCTTTTCGACTTCTCTTGGTGTGATGATTCTGGGATTTTTGTTTACAAGCGTGTGCGAAATGAGGAAGGTATGGGAATGCAAGATGGTGAAACAGTTGCCATATCTGATGACTCTCTCTATCTAGCTTTGTCTCTCTCCAATTTGCAAGGAAAGAAAACGGAAATGCACGGTGAAGGACGATGGAGAGGATGAGAACGAAGACGGAGCGGGAAAAGAAAAAGACTGACGGGCCGAATTTATATGGGTTTTTCTGTTACCTTTAATTGGTCTACGGAAACTAGTTCTAAATACACCGTTTACAGGCCTTGGATGATTGAAACTCATATGATTCTCCTTTACACCATGATAGAAATTGTCGTGAGAATTTCAACGATTTTAAGTAAAAGAGAGATTATTTTGCATAAAAAATGTCATTAACTCGATGTGCAATGACATTCTTGAATTTTTAATTTATGTAATATGATCCATGAATTTTTGATACATGTTGAATCTAGTTTATCAACTATATGAAATTATGAGATGTTATCCTTACAATAATTCAAGTTGACGGAATTTGCCGATTTAGCTTCCCATGTAAGTTTGAATGGTAGACCAAAAAATGACATTATACGTGGATTATCCAGGTAAGTTATTCAACTCAAATCCGAATATAATAATCCACATCATCAATTAACATGGATAATCATATTTTCAAATCGAATAAATTAAACAAATTAAAAGTATTATTATATGCTAATTTGAGTTGAATATCTTGCGTGTATAATCCACGTGTATTGTTTTTTTTTGTTCACCATTCAAACGTACCGGATTGGAAGTTAAATCAACAAATTCCATTAACTTGAATTAATGGAATGATAGCATCGGACATTTTCTTAAAAAGTGTCACAGTCAGTCGAGGAACGTTTTAGGCTTTTAATGATGGATAGCTCTCAGATAAAAATGTCGTTCTTATTTACTCCATAATATGCCAATACACAATGGGAATTGAAACACCAACAGTGGAACAGACGGGATTTACGCGCATATGCATGTGGAAGACATGGAAGTTTCACCTCCATTTAAAAAATGCAACATCAGTTGGATGTTCACCAACGTTTTGCCTTCATATTTTCAAAGAAATTTCCGACAGAGAAATTCGTGAGCCGATGGACAGCAGGTGAATATTCTTGTACTACCCCTTATTGGTCCCCAGAAACGGAGGAGGTTAGGTTTAGTCAACAGGATCCGGTGATTAATTAAGAATAAGGGACTAAAGTTTGAGTGTGGGTTCAAAATTGGCAGATCTTTCCACGCCGAAGCCACCAGGAAATCACAGGGTAGACCAAACCGCACCAACATGCCAAACTTCGCTTAGAATTTTTGACTTTGCCACGAATGTTATAGACCAGGAAAATTTAAAAAAAATAAACAAATATTTAGTCACGTATTTTCCTCGGGTGAAAAGGTCCAATGAAGCTGTGTTTTTTTTTTCCTTGTTTAACGACAGAAATAATCAAATTAAAGAATTAGGGGTAGGTCCATGCACTCCCATTCTTGATCTATCGCCCTTCTCGAAACGGTTTTATACCAAAGAATATGACCACTAATCTTTGGTCTTTCTCTCTAGCTGTTTTTTTTTATTATTGTTATAATTTCACTTTTAAGATAAATTATAGGGTTAATATCATGAAAAACCTCAAACTGGTACACCAGTGATAAATTTACCCTCCGTTAGTTTCTGTTAACTTTTACCGTCACGTTGCTAAGTTGGATGACACGTGGCAGTTCATGGGTGTACCGGTTTGGGGTTTTATCCCTCCGTTTGTCATAGATATACCAATTTGTGATTTTTTGCGGTATTAATCTAATTTAAAGGTACCCCTCCATTTGTCACGGGTTTACCAATTTGTGATTTTTCGTGGTATTGATCTACTTTAAATGAGGGTAAATTTGTTACATGTATACCATGTTGTGGTTTTTTGTGGTTAAAAAATTAGTTTGAGATAAATTCGTCACAAGTGTACTAGTTTGGGGATTTTTTTGATCAAAAAATTAGTTTGGGGTAAATTTATCACAAATATACCGGTTTGAGGTTTTTGGTGGTGTTAATCCTAAATTATATGCCATAAAGATGATCTTATGCTAAAGGGCAGCCCACAAATATTTTGATTAGCTGGTTTTACTAGAAAATGACAACCCTGGTGGTTGCCAAAAGTCACACATGTATAATATATTAGCCCAATAAAGTAATCTCGTCTTTGGGGCATTTCCTTCTTGGAAAGTGATTAACATTAAATTAAATCCCAGAAGATGATCATTCATCTCCAAATTTGGAGCATTAAAACCCGATAAGCTTTGACAAGATTGATGACTAGGGTAACGCGCACACGTCAAAAGCCAGCAGCAATGAGTAATTTAGATGATGTGCAATAAGAAACAATTAATCGGTCAAATTCAGACACAGCGGGTCGTCCGTTGAGTTAATATGGATTATAAATGGGACTAAAAGACAGACAGTCGTCGTTAGCTCTTCGGATGCATATGGCCCGAATCAAAAGAAACAACGTGGGTAATAAGCAAGAATACGACTGTACTTATTTAAAAAGACTTGAGGAGACAAATCTAATTGTAGAATATATCAAATGATAATGTTGGTTCGTCGATGATAAGAGTGCAGTGGTCCATAGCAATTTGCCACGAAATTGACAGAGCATCCCTTCCGTGAGGGCGTGTGCGTGCGTGTGTACACTTGGAAAGGCTCCTATATGATGCATGTCTGAAACTAAAAACAGCGTGTCTATATATTTTATATTGTTAAAGATGATCAAATCCAAATGGAACATAGTTGTTAGAAACAAGGGTCACGGTCTAGAGATATGGATCGCTCTCAAGGTTTTCTGAAGGATGGACCGTGACCGATTCATGAACGAGAAGGCGGACCTCGAGAATACTAAGTCTTAGAGTCTTTTTGATGTGTTCTAGAATACTCCTGGGAGCGAGCATTATTGTAATTGTACCTTATTCTTGTAATTCTATTGGCTGATAGAGGGGTGGCCTTTGATTGGGGGATAGAGAGGTGCAATCTCTACTGTTATATCGAGGAGAGATCTATAGATACGGTCAGTCCCAAACTTGTATATAAAGGGGTCTCCTCCCTCATTAATACATTTCATTCTCATGTGAAATACAATCCAGAATTTCTTTCTCTAAGATTCTTGTGAGTGAGTATGAGAAGGCTCACTTGGGAAGAAATTCCTAAGGCCGCATGGGTAAGGGAACGCTAGATCGATATCGATCGACCTGTGACACAAGGATGATAGTTTTTGGAGTAGAATTCTCGGGATTAAGTACATGTTGGAAAATCAGTAGAAGAAGAAATCGATGGTGAACTCTATTCCATTATTTTGAATTTCTTCTTGTTCTTGTACTTTGTGGAAAATCACGATACAGATTAGGGTGTGTTTGTTTCGCGAATATTAAAATATTTAAATATTAAACCATACATTCCTCTAATCGCTTAAGCTTTTAGAACAGTTAGCTCACAGAGTCTCGCATAGTATCAGAGTAGGATGCCTTACAAAACTGAACGAATAAAAAGTATTTGCATAGTCAGAGAAGATGCTAGACATAAATTGTTATTGATAATGAAAATATTTTTAATTGATTAACTATTTCAAGCGATACAAATGATCATTTTTAGGAAATTTTTTTTCAAATCATTCATTTTCCGCAAAATGAACACGGTCTTAGTTGTGAAATGGTTTCGAAAGATATTGGGTGGGTTAGAGATGGATTTGGACTCCATATATGAATTACATGTTGCGACTTTTGGTTGGTCCTCATTTTTAGTTGTTGTCCCTATAGAATGAATTAATACATGTAATTAACAAAGATAAGAATGGACTTAAGAAGGTTTTTTTTTGCCTCTCATTAAAAGTAGAAATCCATTTTCTTTTCTTTAATAGTGTAAGTACCAGAGGCAAAATCGAGAATGAATGAAGCCTAGATTAAGAAAGAACGACATGTTTAGGCAAAAATATTGACAGGTAAGAAAAAAAAAAGAACGACGTAATACCTAAAACAAATCGCTGAAATCAGTCGCAGTCTAGTTAGCTAGCAGATCTATCTTATTTTTAAGTTGACTTGAAGTGCCCCTTAGAAATTGGATCTCCAACATTAAAGTGTATAAAAAAATATAAAGTATTCGTTAAATCTTTATTAGCAGAGAATAGATGTGGGGTATCATATAATCTCGAGTTAATACCATGAAAAACCCCAAAAGTGGTACACATGTGGTAAATTTAACCCAAACTCATTTTTTTTTATCACAAAAAACACCAAACCGGTACATCCGTGACAAATTTATCCCAAATTAATTTTTGACTACCAAAAACCCCAAATTAATATACTTGTGACAAATTTACCCTCCGTTAAATTGGATTAATACCATGAAAACCATAAATTGGTAAATTTGTGACAAACAGGGAGGTAAAACCCTAAACTGGTATACCGGTTAACTGCAACGTGCCATCCAACTTGGCAATTTAACTAAAAAATTTAACGGAAACTAATGGAGCGTAAATTTGTCACAAGTGTACCAGTTTGGAGTTTTACTTTGGGGTAAATTTATTACAAGTATACCAATTTGGAGTTTTTTTATGGTATTAATCCTATAATCTCCAATATGAGTGTCATTACTTAGCAATCTAAAGATGACTCGCTCTATTAGAATGATGAAATTACTTTACAATAAAACTATCTATGATTAAATAACTGAGGATTATACGAAGTGTCAAATCCTTTGAGAGAACAAGGCAAAATCTTACATCGAAAGGGGGAATATCAAACTAACATTGATAAGATCAGGGGCCGAACCTGTTCCAATGATTTTGCCATGATCAAATGTGATTATTGGCGGGACCAAGAAACGGCATGACAGAGGTTTGGCATCACCGATTCCCTTTTGTTTCTCTCTCTTCAGTTCTTTTTCTATTTTCCATACATTCATGCAGCTTGCAAGCCATGCTAATAATTTAAAGGATGTAAGGAAATTGAAAGAAAAAACTTAGTTTTCTACATTGTTTATGAGAACTTGAGATGGAGTTCAAAGTTTTACATTGTGATTCTGGTTCAATAATTGAGTTGAATCGAGTGTAATCTTGAGCATACAGACTATATTGAGTACGGAATATATGAGAAACCGAATTTTTCATCATAT